ATTTATTTATTAATATATTTTTAAATTTATTAAAATTTCAGGGGTATAACGGAAAATTGCCACAGGTACTTTTGCAATAGGTAAAATACTTTAGGTTTATTTTTTATTTATTTATACCTCAAATACACACAACATATAAGTATTTTTACGTAAGGCAAAATAAAGTCTCAAATAGAAATTAATATTACCTTCCGATCAGTAAGTGTTACGTACTTAGATCGTTTCTTAGACTGGTGGCTATGATTATTGCAATCGTTCAAATGAGTCACGACGTTACCCTACGTACCCGCATACAAACGTTGTAAAATCAAACTCCTTTACGGTAGTCACCATGTAGGAATCATTTTCCAGTTCTTCTGACCTGTCTGGTGATTAGGGCGCTCCAGTCGCAATCTGAGGATCACATACTCGCCCCTTCAGCTGTGAGAGCATTAAAATATGACGGTCAATCCCACTTTTCTTCATTAAAATAGTAGCCCAGAGTTGGCGGTGGGTGGTGTTCATTAGTTACCTTCCCTCTGATGTGTCTCTTCAAAATGAGGGACGGCTAATGCAAATAGCACTCGAGTAGATTTGCGCAAAGTTAAAAAACAACAAACATTCTTCTGATCCATTAGTAGGAATATTCTCCGTTTAATGGCCAGCATGACCTGTGATTAGGGCGCTCGACTCGCAATCGGAGAGTTGCGGGTTCGAATCCCCGTCCCACCAAACATACTCGCCTTTTGAGCCGTTGGGACGTTATAATGTGGCGGTCAATCCCACTATTCGTTGGTAAAAGAGTAGCCCAAAAATTGGCGGTGGATGGTGATGACTAGCTGCCTTCCCTCTTGTGTTACACTGCTAAATTAGAGACGGCTAACGCAGATAGCCCTCATGTAACTTTGCGCGCAATTCAAAGCAAACAATTCTCGTTTAGTTTGTTCTTTTGGCCTATCTTTTACATCTATTATCTCATATTACTACTACACCCTCATTTAACACAATTAACGAACACTTAAAGTGTGAAAAATCCATTAACTTACCTAAACTCTGCCCTTGACTTTTCCAAGCATCGTTCCAAAAAAGGAGGCATATAAACAAAGCGTGAAAGTTTGACATTTCCATAGCAATCAGATAAAAAATTTCCTAAAAAAAGGAACTCACAAATGTTCTTTTACACTCCTCTGACTTCTTGGTTGTGCATATTTATGAAAACAATAATTCCGGTGAGAATCGTTTAAACGACTTAAACTTTTAAAGTAATGTGGATGAGAAAGTCAGGAAAGTAAATTTTGTAGTTCACAAGATGACATAGACACGGACGTAAAAAGTTCTTTGATATCGTCCAATTCATTTATCCATTTCAACATTAACCTGAAAAGCGTATTTCAAGGACTATTATACTTCAACTATATAAGCTAACTTTCTTGAACATCTGCTTTTAAACAAGTCACTCACTGTCAGAAGCAGTTCTATCCAAGTACTGTGTGCGTCACTCTACCTGAACTTTTGTATATAGAAGATTCCTGATTAAGCAGCGCCATCTGTCAATGCAAATATAAATGTGTATTTTAAACATTTTTACAAGCGATTGTAAGTTATAATTGTGAAATACAAGGGTGAAAGTTAACATCTATGTATATGTGCTTATACCCTAAATTAGTGTTTAGATTTAGATCGTACTAAGATATTCTCATTAGTTTCGCCAAAGAAGAACAGTGTGAAATATTTCTTCCAAAGTGAAAGACGCCGAACGAAAACAGCTAAGAAACTGTCTTTTTTTTTTCACTTTAACAGCTATTTGAAGAATTTATTTGAAATAACTTTTCATGTATCTTTCTCCCCCACCCATTTTTCCCCCTTCATACCTTAATGAAACAAGACTGACGTACTGTAGTTGTGAACTGACGTACTGTAGTTGTTTTTTTTTTTGTACTTATACAAGTTATGAATGAAAAGCTATCAATCTATAATTTCATTGACAAATATTCATGGTTGTAGTTTCACTATGAATAAAGTAGTTTATGTAATCTTTGAGCTTAATAACACACACACACACACACACATAAACAAATAATCTGCTACTGAAGGTTTTCTTTGAATACACAGGCGGAATGCATTGTTGGTAACAATATCCGCTAAAACCCCTCCCCCTTTATTCATATGATTAAAATGGGGCAAGATGCACGTAGGTAAGATAAAACGTATTTGTAAGGCTATTGAGGCTATCTGCCGCCGTCCTCAATTTTGAACTACAAACCAGAGGTTAGGAAGCCAATCAGCAGCATCATACCGCACATCATCTACGCTAAGGGATTAGTTGTCACTTTTTAAAGCGCCCTCAATTCAAAGTACGGTGAATATTTTCTACAATAAGGGATTGGTTGGCACTTTTTAAAGCGCCCTCAGCTTAAAGTACGGTGAATATTTTCTACACCAAGGGATTGGTTGGCACTTTTTAAACAGCTCTCAACTTAAAGTGCGGTGAATATTTTCTATGCTAAAGGATTGGTTGGCACTTTTCAAAGCGCCCTCAATTTAAAGTGCGGTGAATATTTTCTACGCTAAGGGATTGGTTGGCACTTTTTAAAGCGCCCTCAACTTAATGTGCGGTGAATATTTTTGTGTAATTCCATGGATTCGAACCCAGGTAACCATCTCCGAAATCCACACGTTGATAAGAAACGAATTACATACTTTGAAATCTTAACTACGTTTTTGTGTATGTACAAAGGGTTACAATATAATTTATTTTCAGCTTTGTTTATTAAAATCGCATGTGGTAGCGCAAGGATTGCACACTAGACGACGTTACTTTGAGATTTTTTTTTAAATTTAAAATAACATTTTCAGGCATTTTATGAAGCATTCACAGTTTACAACACTTCACTTTAGAAGAGATAATGAACAGATACTAACTAGATTTATAGATCCTCAGATTTATCAGTTAAAAGATAATAAATACCAAATACCGAGTAACAAGAAGGAATCCTCAATACCGGCGGCACTTGAAATTCTTCTAGGCAGAATTAGAGTAAATTAATGTATGAGACTTTTCCCCCTTTTTATTCGTTATGTTTTAGTGCGCCAGCAATACCAAGCGTGGGGCTCTCGTGTACCAGATTCAATTTTATAACTCATTGGGATCACTACCAGCCTACCTTCAAATTGAAATTCTTTTGGGCAGGAGTAGAATAAATTCATCTATGAGATCTTGGGCGTGATCAAATAAATCAATCTAAAGGGTTTGCCATTCTGAGTCCAAAACTGCAATTAGATCTCAAATCGGTCAAGAGATGACGGCGCTATGAGCTAAAAGTTTGTACTTGAATAAAAAAAACTCGGAGCCATTCTATGAGCCGATATGCCGCGGCTAAAAATCCCTTGAGAATTAAATATGTCAGTGTTATCTAAAACAGGTCAATACAAAATATCACGATATTAAATAAAGAAAAATAATAAATATATAACAATTGATGAAAAACAAAACGTTTGTATATTATACTAAGCGGTTATACTTTTTATAGTCTAGTTTTTATTTTTTATAATGATTAAAAAGTTGATCATTAATTGTGCTTTTTAGTAACAGTAAAAAAAACAAGTGTTTAAACTTAAACTACATTAAACAAACATATGGTAAACTGTATAATATATAAAGTGTAGAATATTGAATACCCACCATTTCTTCGTGCCCCGTTAGAGGGCATTGTTCGATAAAGTTTTCTTAATGCAGAACTAATCTGCAAGATGCCCTTTATTTAACGGAATGGTTGTCGTTAGGTTACGTAATTTATCTTGACTACGAATACAACGCATTCTACACGCTGGAACATTTTGAACAGTTGCTGTGATTGATCAGACTTTAGGTCATAGTGGCGCCTCTGGTGGTTGCATGTGACAACCGTGTTATTGCTATCGGATGATACCCTTAACAACCTTGTAAAATTTCACCATCCTATGCTACACCGTCTGTGTGATATTACACACTAAACTGGGAAACTTTCTTTATAGTCACCCTTTATAATCAGGGTACACTCACCGTAAATGCGAGATGCAATTCAATGTATGAACAATATATATTTTTTTATTATAAAAACCTTCTATCACATCTGAGTAAACAGTTTATTAACCACACTTTTCTAAAGAACTAAACATGGAAAAAGAGCTGAATTTGAAATATCCCAAGTAAAAATTCTTTCACGGTGTTCAGTTCTTTATGGTTTGGGAAAAATATTTTGTTTTACAACCCACTCATGATAGTAACGTTTTGTAGCTTGGGAGAAAAAATAATAATGTCTTTAACCTTAATTAAATGATAATGTATGTAGTCCTGGTTGATATATCATTTTCATAGACAACTAGTTTGTTTGTTTGTTTTGAATTTCGCGCAAAGCTACGCTATCCGTCCCTAATTTAGCAGTGTAAGACCAGAGGGAAGGCACCTAGTCATCACCTCCCACCGCCAAATCTTGGGCTACGAATAGTGGGATTGACCGTCACATTAAAACATTCTCACGGCTGAAAGGGCGAGCATGTTTGGTGTGATGGGGATTCGAACCCGCGACCCTCAGATTGCGAATTGAGCGCCCTAACCACCTGGCCAAGCCGGGCCCATTTCAAAAGTGAATGTTGAGCTTTGCTTGCGTGCGTATATTTTCAAACGGGAGACAGACGAACGCTCGGACAGACACAACGGTTCGCAATATATATATATATATGTAACACTCTTTTCATTTTTGAGTATTAATGTAATCATTTGGATGCAACATATTTTCATTTTTTTGTTAACTGTTTAAAACTGAGTATTAACGTAGTCATTTGGATGCAACATATTTTCATTCCCTTTAAATACTTAGGTTCCCTAAAAACATACTGTTTTGTTTTTCTATCGTAAGTTATTTTCAAATAATCTGATAGGTTTCATTTTATTGTTTCACAGACATTTGGTCACGAAACGGACTTAGACAATTATACTACGATAATTCATACTTAACAATCATTTGAATTAGATGTATTTGGTTGGATGTAAAATTTAGAACCTGACATGGCCTGATTGTTAGGGCGCTCGATGAGCAATCTGCCGAACATTCTAGTCCTTTCAGCCGTGGGGGGTGTTATAATAACTGAGACAATGTGAAAATACTTAAAGTTAAAACAACGAATTAAATATAAGAAAAACGTTAGAAACAAAACTGTTTTGAATAGAGATTTAGGCCTTGGTGTCACGGAGGTTAATTTTTAGAATTTAATTATAAAACGTCGCCACTGTACAAGATGCAAGTTGTACATGTATATCGACAGGTTATATAAGTGATTTTTGTGTGTGTGTATTCTTTGTCTGTTGAATATAGTGACGCATGTTCCAGTGAAACATGCAGAAGGTTTTTTTAATTTTTATTCTTGCTTTAAACTTTAAATAATAAATTAATGTGCATGTTTGGAAATGTTGAAGTCATAAATATATTATTTATCTCTCAGTTAAACTTTATACAATAAATTAATGTGTATGTTTGGAAATCTTGGTTCTGTGGTTCACGTCCTGCTACTCCAAAAACAGTGACGATCAAATACCGCTAATATGTCTAACAAGAGTAGCCCAAGAGTTAGCGGTAGGTGATGTTGGACTAGCTGTCAGCCTTTTAGTATTTTTCTTCAAAATTATTCGCGGTTAGCGTTAGTCTCTTGAACTTGAATAATGCAAAACTATAAATAGCAAAAACTTTTAATTTCTTTGTTGAACAGTTCGTAAAAGGTCCCTAAACAAAACCCAATTCATCTGGAGATTGAAAGACTAGTTGAATTTAAATTTCGTAATTATGTTTATTTATTTTCAATTATTGAAATATCTTTAGTTCAATAGGTCTGATTGTTATCATACTGCTGGCCTTTTTTACTTTTTTATATATCGTGGTTAAAACAACATAATAATAACAATATAGCATTTAATCTAAGCCACTCAATATGTCGATAGTGGCTATTAGAAAGCCCCCAGTAGCACAGCGGTATGTCTGCGGACTTACAACGCTAGAAACCGGGTTTCGATACCCGTGGTGGGTAGAGCACAGATAGCCCTTTATGTAGCTTTGTGCTTAACTAAAAACAAAAACAAAAAGCTTTTAGAAAACATAAAAAACCTCAGAGACAACTCGACAAATCAAGTCATGAACATTAATGTTCAATTCATAGACAAACATATATAGATAGGTTTACAAGAGTTTGCACTCTGGTTGTTTCTGATATCTGGTTTTCAAGGAGACAAAACATCCAAATAGAAAGCCACTGGTGTTGTATAGCATGACACAGTGGTATGTTGGGTTAAATTTTCTTATCTAAGCAAATTGATTTTGATTTGAATTTTTTATAAAGAAGAAAAACTATGTATTTTGGAATTATAGAACAATAAAGTGCAGTCTGTATTAACATTTGTAATGTATCAGAG